TCAGTATCCGGACTTTCCGATCCTTTGTGAAGTAATGTGGTACTCGTGGCACCTATTATTGTAATTTTTCTCTGGAGCCCATGAGGATTCTTATAAAGTAACGTGTTAATACGTAGCAAATATTCACACTAGGTAGGACAAGTAAGAATTATAAATAGCCTCATAGTGATTCAGGTTAGGTTGCCCTCAAGTGGATTATGAAAAAATGTTTATATTTCGGAGCTTTTGGAATTTCAGGTATCGCTAATAAGGGTTGAGAACCTGTTTTTTGAAACCCTTAAAATAACGATTTTAAATAATTCAATAATAATGTAGCAGTTGCTCACCTAAGAAATGAAAGATACACACCATCTGGTACTTAATTTTCTTCAAAATTAGCGCACACCTTTAAATGAATAATTCTGTCTGTTTTGTGAAGTTCTGTCATTTAAATTTTTAATGATACCTTGGAAAAGTGTTAACTCCCCTAAGTTTTTTTATTCTGTTAAATTTTGACCATTTGCTTTCCAGAGATGTTGACATCAGTTGGGTAGTCTTTTTTTTTTTTTCATATTTTAAGGACAGGTTTATTGGGAAAAGGAGAAAGGAAAAGAGAGGCGCCTGCACAGTGACAGGTGCGCAGGAGCTGCCACTGCTGCTTTGCAAGGGAAGGATTTGTGGATAAAAGAGAGGGGGGATAGTCTTATTACTCAGGTAGAACTGTGTGGCTAGTTAAATCTTGTATTTCTAAAAAATTATTTTAAATTAGAATAATTGTAAAAGCCTAGAGATTAACCTTATATCCAGAAATTTTGTTTAATGTTACCACCTACCTCTTTCACCATTGGTTCTGAAGTGTGACTTCATTAAATTTATTAAGTTTTGACTAAATTTTGTACTTTCTGTATGGCTTTATTTAGGTATAATTATTTCAAAGAGTGTTGTTGAGATTAATATTACAGAAATAGAACCATATTTTACTTTTTTTTTCTGAAATAAAACTTCTCTTAGAAAGATACCACGAAAATTGCATTTAATTCCAAAATTTTCATAAATTTCAAAAAATACTGACAAAAGATATGATTATTTGGTGGGGAAAAAAATTGAGGCTCATTGATGACTGTGGAGAAGGCAATTTTATTCGGCTAGAAGATACCCAGAGAAGAATCCAACATCAGTCACTTAAGGCCTGAGAGACTGAAAGAAATCAAATGGAAAACTTCTTACTCACACATTGCCGCTCTGCCATCTGTCATTCTGATTAGCGGAATTCCACATTGGTGACTGAAATACTAAGTATAAACTTAATCTAATGCCATATTAATACTTTTATAGCACTTTGTCCCTACATGCTCTGTTGGACAGAGGGAACACTTTATAAATAAAACCATTGCATGCTGCTCTTTGGTTAGGATAAATAATAAACATCTAGGTGACTCTGCAGTTTTTGTTGTTTTTATTTTTTTCCTACATGTTTCCATAATGTTCCTGTTTAGATAGAAAAACTTAGCGTATACTTCATTCAAATTTTTTAGGCAGTAGTTAGGTCCTATTTGCTAATACATTTGCAAGGTTAACTGTATAAGTGGATTCAGATATAGTGCATAGACTTATTTGGTTGAAAATGTTTAATATATATAGGATACTCATTAAAAATACTGATTTCCTTTTAATGATTAGCTATACTAAGACTTTTATATACTAAGACTTTTTAAAGTATTTATAAGCACAATAATCTGCTTATTTGAAACATTGGTAGATTTGTCTATGACAGCTTTGTTTTGGTACAGAAAAGCATATGGTTATCATACTTCAGAGAAAAATGCACTCTTAAAGTATCTGTGAACACATATAGATTTGTTACCAATTTTAAACTTGTTCAGATACAAATTTAGTGATTTGGGTTTGTAGGATTTGAGAAGATAACTCAAGAGTCAGCTATTCATCACCGCCTTTTGGTATCATACTCATATATTTTAAATTAACCAACACTCAATTTGAAATGTAACATGGAAGTCTTAAGCCTGGGATAATATTTCCAACTGTAATTTGTTGTCGTTTTTTCTTTGACTTTTTTTTCTCATCTTGTTCTTATTATTGTAATTAGGAAATAGACAAAGAATGACTTTTTCTGAGACGCTAAATTTTGAGACAATGGAACACCCAAACACAGTTGACAAAGATGCAGTTAAGGACAGAAAACCAAAGCTTGGAGAGTAATAAGAATTGCAGGTGTGGAATTGTATTCTTAGGAGTGAGAAATACAAGAATATATGAATTATCTAATAAAAAATGTTGAAAACTATATACTAAGCCTAAAAAGGGTATCCATAAGTAATGCTATAAAACAGAGAGATAAAATGGGATAATCATGGATTCTCTTTTGTCATCGATGCCAAGAAAATAAGGGAACGGCGAGCAGTGCTAAATGTTGCAGAGGCTGTGGTGGGAGGATAGACAGCATCAGCATGTTCAGCGAGTGGGGTTAGCACGCTGACATGAAAAAGAGATTGTGTGGAAGGAGGGGGTGAATACTTTGTTCAAAAATGGGAAAACTGGCATAGCCCACTCATACAATGTCCTGCAAGAGAAGGATGGCTAAGGTGGTACTTGATTTGAAGGGCAGGACCCTTGGAGAAGCAGAGAAAGTTCATTATGTATTTTAAATACTTAAATCCTTTCCTAGGTATTGGTCACTTAAAGACAAGCCCATCATAATGCTATTAGAGTGACATTCCTATGTTCTGCTGTTACCAATAAATCGCTTACTTTTGGTTATTTTAATTGTCCAAATACCAAATCCTTTTTGAAAATGCTTGTGCTTGCACACGAACAAGCTCCCTGTAACTCTGCTTGGAGGTGCCTCAATTTAATATTCCCTAAGATCTGGAGTAGGCGTGCACATGCTCCTCTGCAGTGCTGACAGTGCATTCCCGTACACCTATCCCACATCTAAACACTGTTGTGGGAGATCTGTGGACAGTTTTTGGGCTCTCCTTCAGCCTAACCAACTGAGGGTAGGAGGAGAAATGCTTTTGAGAAAACTGGTGGGGGAAATGAACATGAACTGAGATGAGAATAGACTGCTAATGGTGTTTATAAGCGATCTCTTCCTGTTAGGGATGCTGCTGCGGTGCTTACAGGTGAAATTGTGCCTACGTAGAAATTGCTCTAAAATAGTCCAACAGAAATAGGGGAGAAGAGAGGTAAAGGTGGTTATAGATAAGACGGAGAATGTTCATTTTTGAGAGTGACTGATTACATAAATGAGAGCTTGTGTATGCTTATAAATTTCAATAAATAGTTGAAAATAAAAATGGGTTGTGGTTTTGGTGCTAAGATTCATGCTGGCTGAAGAAAAGCAACTGAATTCATTTTTTAAAATTGAAATGTTTTCTGACAAAAATAGCACATAACGCAGTTAAAACAAGGAACAAAAATAAAGTTACGAGAAGCAATTTATAAATTCCCTTCTTTTCTGTGTAAGTCCCTAACTAAAATTCTGTCTGGCTTGGAGGAGGCACACAGCAAATGTATGATGAGCTGATCTACTCTGTTTCTCTTAACAATAAAAGTTTAATTTTTTCAAGATATTTAAATTTTTCTTTTTCTCTAAGAACTTATCTTGAAATGATTATTAGAAATGGTGAAAGTTTAAGATTGGTCTCATTTTTCTTAATTTTTCTTTTAATGTTAGATTTCACAAAGTTGTCTTGTTTTATGTCAGGTTTGAACAGAACTATAAAAAGTATTTTAAAAATTATTTTGCTGTGTCAGCACTCATACTTCTCTATATTTTGGTTGTTCAATATGACTTTTAATTTCCATGTACCTTTAATAATTGACTTATAAAAATATGCAGTGTTTTTCTGTTAAAATAAGAAATTCAGCTAAACTTAGAATTGCATGCTTTAAGCTGAAACATTGGGGAACAGTCTAATTCAAATGCTCTGTTCATTTGTTGAGGATAAAGTTTAATTTTCTTTCTCCATGAAGTTATTCTAGCTAAATGATATTTACCTTTTTCTATCTTAAGAGTTGAATTACTGCCTTTTATTACACCTCACTCAAACTGGCCAAAATTAGTTTAGCACAACGTAAGTAACCGTGTTTACTATTCTACTTTTTTTTTCTTCTTTCTTTAGAAAGTGACTAGAACAGAACTGCTAATGAACAGTGTAATTTCAAATTGCATCAAAGAAGAACGATAAAAGACTCAGGTTTTAATTCACAGACTTGACTAGTCAACCTGTAAAATAACCTGAAATCAAGTCCACAGGTGTTAGCTAGATTGGATTATATATATAATTCTATGTCAGAAGTTAGAATCAGAATAGAAATGTAATATATGATCGCTCATTGGTAACGTATGTAACAGGATTTTAAAAGTATTATCATACTTCTAATTTACCTGTGGACCTCGTCAATCTTCCCTCTCATCTCCATTTTTTTTTTTTTTTTTGGGATATATTTATTTATGCATACAAGAACTGGGGAATAGGCCAGAGGTGCGGGGCTGGGGGAGGTGGGTATTCACCAGAGACAGAGTGGGGAGCAGAACAGGTGGGCTACTGAAACCCACTGCTGAGGGGAGCAGCGGGGAGACAGGAGAGGTCGACTGCGCCCTGTGGGTAGCTCCCTGGTGGGGGATCAAACTTGTGCTGCAGTGGTTGCTGGTAGCTTCATAGTGCTGAGACTTAACCCCTGCACTATCAGGGAGGCCCTTAGATTTCTTTATTTATACAAGAACTGGGGTACAGGCCAGAGGCAGGTGAGAGGACTCACCAGAGACAGAGCTGGGAGCAGAACAGGCAGACAGACAGAAAGCACCGCTGAGGGGAGCAGCGGGCGAGACAGGAAGGTCTGCGGCACCATGTGGGTATCTCCCCGGCCGGCCGGGAATCGAACCCACGCTGCAGAGGCTGCGGACAGCTTCACAGCGCTGCGCTCAACGCGCTGCGCCACCAGGGAGGCCCCTATCTCCATATTCTTAAGGTCAGTCTACTTATGGTTACCTCAAGGCTTCCTAGACGTTGCTTTTTTCTTTACTTCGCCTTTCCTACTTTGGAGAAGCCTGGCGCACTCCCACATGTTTAGTAGACAGCACTGGTTCTTTCTTTGCTTTTCCAAATTCTAAATGTAAGCAGAGATCTCTGGTCTTTAAAAACACAAACAAAAAAAAAATCATGAACTTTCTCCAAATACCATTCTTTAGCTTTTGGTTTTTTATTTGTTTTTTGTTTTTGTCTTGATAGACAGCTTCTGTAAAAGGGCAATATTCAACTAATCCTTAACACCCATTCAACGTTTAACAAAGTCCTTTTTTTAAAAACTTATTTTGTCCAATTTATTTTTAGGTGAGGTAATATTGGGGTGCCCCCATCAGTGATGGCCACCACAGGGCACCCACCACCACTCACCCTGCTTTGCCGGCACGGGGCGCTGTGCTGCTTCCTCCCTCTGGCTCTTCCCCTCAGAGCCTCAGTTCCCCAGTCCGTCAAGGGTTACTTTTCAGCTTGTCTTTATCTGGCTGTTGATTTAGTTACTTTATATCCACCCATAGCGACACCATCCGCATTTATCTGTCCCCTTCTAACTTGTTTCACTCGGCGTGAGCCTTCCAAGCTCCATCCAGTGCCGCCTGTCTCTTCTGACCACTGCGTAGTTCCCCCCGGGTGTGTTCCACGTGGCCTGGATCCTCCCGTCTGTCCTGGCACGTGGGCTGCTGCCGTGGTTTGGCCATAGTACGTGGTGCTGCGGCAAACATGGGAGTGCAGAGACGCCTCGACGTGGAATTCCTGGGTCAGGTGCCAGATCCATGTTTAATGTTCAGTGTTTTGAGACACCCCCACGCTGCTTTCCATAGGGCCGGCCCAGCTTGCATTCCCCCCAGAAGTGCAGAAGGCTCCCCTTTCTCCACATCCTCACCCCCACTTCTTGTCTCTGGTCTTTTCGACATGGGTCCTTCCCAGGGGCGTGAGATGGTGTCTCCCTCATGTTCCTGGTAAGCGTTACTAGAGGTTTGTCCATTTCATTTATTTTTTTCAAAGAACCAGTGTTAGTTTCATTGATCTTTTGGACTGTCTTTTTCGTTTCTATTTCGTTTATTTCTACTTTAACTTTTGTTCTTTCTGTTCTACTGGCTTTTGGATCTGTTCGTTCTTGTTTTCCAATTCTCACGTTAAGAGAGATGTTATTTGAGCGCTCTTGTTTCTCGGTGTGGTCCTCTGTGACTGTGTATTTGCCTCTGAATACTGCTTTTGCGGCATCCCATAAGTTTTGGATGGTTGTGTGCTTATCATCTGTCTCAAGGTAGTTTTTATTTCTTCTTTGAATCCTCATTAATCCAGTGGTCTTTCAGTAGTGTGCTGTTCAGTCTCCATGTATTAAAAGATTTCCCTGCTTTCTTTTGATAGTTGATAACTGGTTTGATACCTGTGTGGTCTGAGAAGATGCTGGATATGATTTCAGTCTTCATGTAATGAATGATATTTATTTTGCGTCCTAGAATGTAGTCTGTTCTGGACAGTGTCCCATGTGTACTTGAGAAAAATGTATATTCTGCTTTTTGGTGTTTCAGTGCTCTGTATGTGTCTGTGTTGAACCCAGCATCCTTTTATGGGTTTATACCCTCAACCTGAAGCCAGAACCATCGTGACTTCCTCCTTTGTCGTCAATTCTGTCATCCAGTTAGCCAGCAAGTCTTGCAGATGCCACCTCCTAAACCTGATGTTTTCTAAGGTTTTGGTCTCAGGGCTCCTTTACATCCTTAAAAATTAGTTAATTTATATGTATTATATCCATTGATAGTATGTTAGAAATTAAAAGTAAAAATTCACTATTCATAAACAACAATACTAAACAATTGTATTTCGGCAGAGATGATATTTTATGAAAAATAACTTGTTTTCCATAACAGAAAAAGGTTACTGAAAACTGTTTTCCATTTTTGCAAGTTTTATTAATATCTAACTGAATAGGAAACAGCTCAGTTCTCATATGTGCTGCATTCAGCTTATTATACAACACTGTTTGAGTTAAAGTACTTGAAGAAAACTCAGCTTTACGCAGATGTATCTGTATAGTTGAAACAGGAAGGAGCATTTTCAGATGATTGATACCACATCAGAACTTGACCATGTTTAATGATAAAGATTAATTGCCATGTGGAATCTAAAACCATATCAATGAATGTGTTCTACAGTTGCATTAACATCTGTTGTGTGTAACCTCATGCAGTTGGAAAATATTGATTCACCGATTTATGCAGATACCAGATGTTGGCATATTCCATTATACACTATTTTTAAAAATCACACCTGTTAAAATGTTACCCACCTCATGAGAAAAGTGTAAGTGAGAAGCTTCCAGCTCATGGTAGCAAAGTCAAGGTTTTGAAAATTCTGGTTTTGCCACGAACACTTGAATGTTGTTGTTGGCAACAAATACTTCAGTTGTTTTCCTTGAAGTGACAGGCTCTCTTCATTCAGTTTTGAGAAAATGTCTGCCAAGTAGCCTTTTGTAAACGAATGAAAAGAGTAATGCCATGAAGCGTGACACTTGCCTCTTGAAATTTAAATCATCAGTCTCTTCCGCATGTGAACAGCGTTGCTCGGGCATGAGCAGATGTGCTTCATGCTGACTTCCCAGTAAAAAGAACCATAATTAAAGGATGAGATTTAGTAAAATCAATATTTTTTTATTTTTCCAAATAAGAATATGAAGTGAGAGTGACAGCTGTCGTCTACTGTGGGAGCAGTGAAGAGCACAGTGACATCCCGTGCGTGAAGGGGACACGTTCTGAGAAGTGCGTCCCTGGACACTCACTGGCATGCGGATGCCATCGAGGACAACTGCACACGCCCGCCCAGGGGGCAGCAGCACGCCTGGACGCGTAACCGCGTGGCGTGCAGTCTGTCTTTGAAGTGCCATTAAGTGATGCACGACTGTGTGTGCTTTAATCGTGCAGAGGTGCCAGCAGTTGTACCCATTGTTGCAAATACCTACCCCCACTTAAATGACACCTTTGTATTATTGCCAAAGTGCTTTCGACCTCACGGACTGGAATCCTGAAAGGAGCTCGTAACCCCCGAGGGGTCCATGCACTTTATTTCCTGTGAACTGTTTTCTGAGCGTGAAGGCGTGTTGCCCTCGCCCACGCCGCTGTCCCATTTCCAACCTTCGTAAACGCTCGCCTTCGCTAGAGAGTCTGCACCTGATCTCCCGGTCTGCAGTCTTTTTCTCTTCCCCAAGAGGCAATCTTCATAGAAAACAAATCAGATTAAGCTGATTTTATTCCTATAAAATCTTTCAACATGCCCCAGCACAACTGGAAGAAATCCAAATTCCTTCATGTCACATGAAGGTTATCACGCGTGACTTCATAATTTCTGGTCCGGGCGCTACATTCTTCCTCTCTCCCCACCAAACTCAACTTGTGGGTAATCCCGGGGCCACGGCAGAGTTTGTGTAGCCCGTGCAGCTGCGTGTGCTGCGCCAGAGCCAGGCCGCTTCCAGTCCCACTTGCCCGCCGTGTAGTCACATCATTTTCAAATCGCCTCATATTACTTTCCACAAACTTTTATATTTTGTTGTGATTTTAAAGTTTGTTCTTGGACTTTCCGTGTTTTATAGTTATTTTGCTTATATTTCATTTACCCCACAAGCTTGTGAGCTGAGATCAGAAACTCTCTCTGTGTTTGTCTTCCTGGTCCTTACGAAGAAAGAGGAAGCACCTAGTAATCATTTAATAAGTGAGTGTTTTAATGAGTTTCACAGAAACTTCTAACACTAGGGTAGAGTTGCTAATGATTAGTAATAAAGGCCACAGATGGGCAGAAAAGAGGGGCCAGAATACATTAGCCACCTTTTCGAATGAAATAATGAATAGTTCCATAATTTTTAATTTAAGTAAAATTCAAGGAACGTGTTAGTTTACATCTGTATTTGGTAGCTGTTCCTGAAAAGATGTAGTGAATTGAATTAAGACACGGGTCACAGTTTGAACATTTAAGTTTCTCACTGCGAAGGCAAAAGTGCCAGCATGCTTCTGCATTTTTATTAATATTTTAAAATTAATATCTTAAAATATTAGAATTATTAAAGCTAACTCTAAGATGTATTCTCTACCTTCTCGACTCTCACTTAATCTACCTGTGTGTACACTGCACTAGCAAAAGCAATCTCCTTTAAAATGAAGTCAGTTTCACCAAGAGTCCGTAATGTATATATAACTTTTAAAAGTTAAATAAGTTTTTGTATGTGACAAACTGTATTACTCACCATTCTGCACAGTGCATTGCAAGTATACAGATTTAAATAAATCCAAATAACCCAAAAGCACGGTTTGCAGATGATACCTTCCTGCCCGCTGATCATTTCAGTTTTCATTAGCACCTGAGTAGAGAAAATAGTTTTTAAAAACTAATCACTTTGGGCCTCACTAATTTAGAATTTATGAGGATGATGTACTGAACTGAAAGTTTAACTCATGGACTAGATGGACTAGATGTTTAGTAAATTAAAATTGTTTTCAGAATTACCAGGGAAATTAAATCTTTCAGAGACCTTCAAATATTTTAATGCAATCAATTCTATATTACTGATTATAAATCATACTGGTTAAGCATGTTATTAGTTGATTAAAAGCCATTATTGAGATTTCTCCCAAAAGATTCTAAATTAGTGAGGTGTGTAATATATAGGTTATGTCTTTTCATTTTTACCAGAGATAGCTTTAGCCAAAAATAACTTCTTGGGACTATGCTTAGAATTCTCTTAGTGCTCTCTCTCACTGTTGCCTTACATTTTTAAGTACTGGTAAATCCTCTGGTTTTTCAGTCAATGCTGTGTATAATTAGAATGCCATGGTACCTGAGACACAAAATGGACTAATTTTACATGCTTCCTTTAAAAATTTATCTTATTTCCATTGATTGAAGGAAATTGTTGACTGTGAATGTAGTAATGGTTACCTCAACTCAGGCTGTATTGGGTTAGTAGATTTTATAGGAACAATACCAAGTTGTACATCTAATTTGATAAATTTCTTTTGAAAATAATTCCCCTTTGTACAATTATTTTTCATCTGAAAGAATACTTTGGAAATCAAACACCGAAGGATATATATATAGTGATTTTGCTCATAAGTCTGTGTTCTCCAGCATTCATTTACTACATACATTGTCATCTGTTACTTCTTTTCTTTATTTCATAATTTCAAAAGTCAGCATTTTTTTATCTAATTTAACATTTTCATATTTTTAAAGGTCCCCAGGTGCATCCAATTTTTCAACTTTACCAAAGATCTCTCCTTCATCTCTATCAAATAATTATAACAACATCAACAACAGAAAGTAAGCACTGAATCTTAAAAACTCTTTGTTTAATTGATCGCCCTACTGTGGTTTCAAAAAATCTCTTGTATCTAAAATTTAGGCTAGATGTCTGAATGCATTAAGACTGACTTTCTTTTAAATTACTCATCAGTTCTCTAGGAGTAACTTGACAAGATGCAAAGGGCAGTTATAAACCTCTTGATTTAATACAGGTACTACAGTAGTTTACTAAAAGAAATAAAGCACTTTCAGAATTTTACATTATAAACGTTAGTTATTAAAATACAGAGAGAAATCTGTTAGAACTCAACTTTTAGAAAGAGTGTCAATTTTAGATGTCATTTTAGAACTAGCTAGGTAAATCACCTATTGTATAGCATTAAAAAGTGAGTATCAGTGAATCTCAGCTGGAAAGCTTACATAAATTTTATGTTTAGTAAAAAAGCAGTTTTTCTTTTAAAGTTCATAGGAATAATTCCCTTGCCCCGTCATGAATGATATTCAGAATCTTGGAATTTGTGGAAGTTACATAGCAGTGTGTGCTTTATACAATAAAGGTTGAAAATCTCTTGGGCTTTACTATAGCATCTGACTTGAGTTTGTTGCTTTGAAAATTGTCATGGATTTTATTTCATAGAAAAGGATAAAAAGAATTTTTTTTTATTATTTGTAATCAGTCCTGTCAAATTTGGGGGAGAACATTGACCCGGAAACAATTATCCTCTTTTTAGTTTTTTGAGTCCTAGATTGCTGTTTATGTATCAGGCTAACAGTATTTAGTTAAATATTTGCACTAATTTAGTTCATAAATGGCATCTGATTATCCCACAGAATAAATTTTAAAAGGCTAACACTGATTTGTGAAAAAAAATCTTTAAAATAATACCATTAGTTGAATTTATAGGTTTAATTAATTTTCTCTTAAAATTTATATGAGGGGTGAGTATTTGACAAAATGATTTCAATGTACATCTGGATTACAAAAAAATTTTTGGAAAGGAAAAATAGGGGTTATTTTACTAAAGATCACAACCTGTTATAAATATACAAGAACTCAATAGAATTCTTTTATTGGTAGAATAGATCTAAAATCAACCGAATAGAAAAGACAACCTAGAAATGGATATCTACCTATAAAGGAATTTGCGTCATCAGGAAGCATTCTAGATTAATGGGGAATGAGTAGATAATTCAAGAAATATTGTTAGTATAATTAGAGTGCTCTTGAGAATATTTCCTTAGGACTTAAAATCCAGAATAATTTTCAGGCATGTAAAAATTAAATGATAAATAAACAGGGAAAATTGCTAAAATGGCAAAAATCACTGGATAATAAATTTTCTAAGCAAAAATGGGCAAACGACACAGCTGGCCAATAAAAATAAAAACATTCTCATATATAAATATTTTAAATCTTCACATTCACCACTAACTAGAAATCTGTAAATTAAAACCATAAAAAAAAATTCCCCCATCCACTTCCCTCAGCTCTAGCTCAATGGGAAAAGTTAAGTAATATCTATTCTTGCAAGGTTTCTGTTGGAGTGGTTAGAGTTGAAGTACTTTTCTAGAAAAGAGTTTGTTGTGTGTATCAAAAAGATTTAAAATATGTGTTCCCTTATTTTAGAATTCATAAAAAGATGTGTCATGGTATAATAACGTAACAGTGAACTAGTGAAGGCCGTGTGAAAATCCAAAGTGGCCATAGCATGTCCTATTCTACTTAAAACTCTGTATCCACAGGCAAAAAGAATGAAAGGAAATATTCCCCTTTAATTTGATTTGCATTCTATGTGATCTCTTTTAATTAAATTCATCAAAAAGTTTCCATAGGAGGTAAAATATTACTTTCCACCAATTGCATGCGGTTACCACATTTCCCCTAAGAATTCAGTCGAAGTATAACATGCACTTACTGCTACTTTGTGGAGAGATTTTTAACATGGTGTTTTGACTAGAGTCACCATATTAGTGTATATGGTCTCCTGTGTTCCTGTTTTGGTCTTTCCCCTCTCATAGTAAAGATGTGATAGTCCAGTAGGATCTTAAAACTTCTCACTGCAGAAAGTATTAAAATAAGAATTGGATTGTTTCTTAAGTTAACATGATTGACTAAGGAGTCTACTCCTGTGACTAGATCATAGTTTTAGCTATTTATGTTGCTCTATTTTAGGCACTTAACTGGTCCTTTCAGATTGGGGAATTTTAATAGCATCTTCTAGGATACCAGCCTGCTTACAAATAAAGATTAAGAGTAAATTTTTGTATTGTTAAAAAAAAAAATTAAACGTTTATAAAATGGAAAGGTTTTTTTACTTTTAAATTTGAAATTATCATTAGACTTAGCTAAATGGTTATTTCACTTAGAAATTATTTCTTAACTTTTCCAAATTCAACTTTTGGAAATAGCAGCAGCCTTAGCCTTCAGGTGGAAAAAGAGCATAGTTTCTTTCATTAAAAGTATATAAATTTGGATTAAGTACATTTTGGAAACCTCATGTATGTGGAGATGGTCTGCAAGTAGAAAGTATAGATTAAGATCAGTAAGGCCTCCCTGGCGGCCTAGGGGTAGAGTCTCAGTGCTGTCACCTCTACAGCCTGAGTTCGATATCTGACCAGGGAGCTACCCACAGGGCGCAGCAGACCTCTCCTGTCTCCCCGCTGCTCCCCTCAGCAGTGCACTTCAATAAATCCACCTGTTCTGCTCCCCACTCTGCTCTGCACTCTATCTCTGCCGAATCCTCTCGCTGCTGCCACCATCCCAACCGCCGCGGCACCTCTGGCCTGCATCCCAGTTCTTCTATGCAAAAATAAATAAAAAACATTTTTACAAAAATAGTTCAGTAGTTGTGACACACAGGTTTATATAAAATATATTTACAAATTCAAGACTTGGACAGTCCTACATTGATAGATTAGTAGGATATAAAGTTCTTCAGAAGAATATTATGAAAGTAGAAACAAATTACTCTTGAAATTCTTTCATCTAAGCTTAACAGTTTTTATTATAGATTAATCATATGAAGAATCAGCTGTCAGAACATTGTTTAACTCATGTAGTAATTTTACCTACTAGTCCATACAGTATTTATTTTTGCCTCATTTACGATTTAAAGTTTGTGGCAAATTCTTTTTATCCCATGCCTATTTCTGTCTTGCTTGTTTTGCCTTGACATTGTACTCCCTTGAATGTATTTATTGCCTCAACTCTTGGCATTCCACATTGGAGCGCACTGCTTTTTTTCTGTTAATTTAAAGCTTTTTATATGAAATAGAAATGACTCCCTTTAAGAAATTAGGTCATGAGATGGAGCTAGAATTTGGAGACTGCAGCGCTAGCCAGCCATCTGGCTCTTGGCGAGCTTTTAGCGAGCTCTTAGCTGAAAACATCATTTCATTAACAGCAAAGTAAGCATAATTATAGTTATGTGTATAAAGTTACAGGTTTATAATATCAAATATCAATACTAATTTAAAAGTCAGTATGAAATTTTTATAGAAAAATAAGGCTCAGTTTTATTTTAAAATTATATTTTTCATTGTATCATTTAAGTAGATTATAATACAGAATTCACCTAAAATTAACATTTGTTTACTGCTGGCAACTTTGTTTATTTTTGCAAAGTAGCACAACCTAGTAGGATTAGGACTAGTTTATATTCTTTAGGGGAAAATCCCGGAAATAGCCATGGAAGATACTAGAGGTAGTCTATAGATCCTAGGTTTCCACATTCTTTGTCAAAGTATTTAAAGAACTAATAATGGTTTGGGTTATTTTCCATGACAGATTTTAATGTTTGATTTAGAGAACACACAAAATGTGGGTTATAAGTGGTCAGTCAAGATAACATTCAAGTGTTTTAGATTTGTCAATTTTAATTATTAAAACTAGACTATGTCTTTGGGTAAGATTTATACTTACCGCCTCACTTAAACTAATTGTAGACATCTATCCTTTAAGGATTCAGATTTTAAAAGACAAATCCAAAAACCTGCTTTTGCAAATAAGTTTTCTGTTCATTTCTCAGTAAATAGGAATCCCTATCCCAGCAAATTCCATCCTGTTGCCACAAAGAAGAATAGAGCTTCCAGCATCCATTTGTTACATAGAGACAGATATCTCAGTATATGCTTATGGAATGAACATGTAAATGTGCTTTCAGTCTTTTTCCTGGTGTGTGTGTCTCTGTGTGCATGTGTGTATAGGCATGAGCATACCTTTGGGCATACTTTTCCTGTGTATTGTCCTTAATTTCTATAAATTTTTGTAGCTAAAATATGTTTCTTTAATTTGTAGAAAATGGAGGCCTTGATTTTTGTCATATATTTGATTTTTCATTCTTCTTATAACAATAAAAGAAAAACAGGATTCAGCTTGTAGTTACATGCCCGTGTAGTTAGATCCAAGAATCCAATCACTGAGTGAACATATACAAAGTATAAAATATAAATCATACAGTGATTTGCAAAAACCAAAAGATGCTTGAATTCTAGTTTTTGTTTTATACTTTTATTTTTAGTAGAACAAGTAAGTAGCTGTAAGTCCACAATTCTGAATTTGAATTGATCCAAGGTTTCAGTTTGCTGAGCCCTGCTAACCTTGTTACCTCCGGGTGGGTTTTTTCAAGACCTTTTGGTCTTAAGGTCTTTTTGTTGTGCTTGTTGCAGGGCAAGTAATCCAGAAACATCTGGTGGGCTAGGACTGTGTGTGTGGTTGTTGGTTGATGTGATTTTCTTTCTATGTTTTATGTTTAGCTTATTTTTGGTGGGGGAGTGTATTCACTAAAGGCTTTGTTAGGACAGGCAGTAGTATAGTTCATTTAAAATATTATAATAATCCAATAAAAAATATAGAAGATAACAGTTGAAAATATTTGACATTATAAGTGAAAACTATTTTTAAAAAATAACACTAGGAATAAATTGTAGCCATTTGATTATTGGAGTTCTGATTCATCATGCAGTCTGTAACACTGTAGTCTTTTATTTGTGTCATCATTTGCTTTTAGCAAATGACCTTGATTCTTGTTCAGGTTTGTTCTATGGAATTAAAAAAAAATGATTGAAAGTATACATTTGAATTATATCCAAGGTGTCCATCATAAATATTTTAAAAGATAACCTATTAAAAGTTAAGGGAGAATCCATTTTTTCGACAAAAATTTTTTGTTTACTACATGTAACAAAAGAGAGGGATCACTTAACTTATTGATTGACTGTGTTATTTCTAAGTATAGAAATAGCTCTAATTCTCTAAAGTTGAAGATTATGTAGTTTTTCTAAGATTGATGTTATAATTGATAGTACAAAGCACTCAATTACTTATTATCCATCTAGTTAAATAAACTAAACTAGAATAAAGGAAAGCCAAATCATACTGGAGTGTCCGTGCTTAGAAGCATTTCATTTTTGCATTGCCAATCACCTCAGTCTTTTTTCTGTATTTGAATACTAGATTTTGCTGATCTAGCACAGAAACTATAAATAGAATCCACAGTGCATCAGAACAGTGATGTCACAGAGGCTATGAAAATCTCTGCTCTCACCTGTAACGCACAACTCTCCCTGTTTCTACTGTTGTCACGCTATTACAGTAGCAGGATGTAAAAAGGACATAAATGAGATGATTTATTGCTGCGGGTGGTGTTTAAAATCTGAATGTTTTAAATTTGATGGAGCAATGAAGAATGGAGCAAGCTGTGAAGCTGCTCCAGTTAATCAAGGGTAGAAAGATATACTAGTGGTTTGTATTGTATGACATGGTATATGAGGAGATGGTTTGGTTTGGATGAAGAGTCTCTTCATTTAAGGGTTTTTGGTTTGGTTTTGTTCCATAGACTTGATTCAGCTTCATGTCTTAAAAAGTTCTTGAGTTAAGTGCTTTATAAAGAAGATATAATGATTGACCACTTATCTCAAATAGGTTTAAGGTACTCTGTTCATTATAACAATGGTATATGTAATAATTGAGTGTATTATGAAAAATATATTTTGCTTTCTTCCAGTGTGAAAAACTCAAATTATTGTCTCCCATCGTATACTGCTTATAAGAACTATGATTATTCAGAACCTGGAAGAAACAATGAACAACCAGGCCTTTGTGGCCTAAGTAACTTGGGAAATACGTGTTTCATGAACTCAGCTATTCAGGTAGGTCTCTCCAAACAAAGTGAAACGCGTGTGTGTCATGGCTCAAGAAGAGTAGACTCGGGTCTTACATGTCAGAATATGAATATTTTATGTGATTTGAGAGTTTCTGTTTTCATAGTGGAAGATTTAAGCCTCCATGACTCATTCTAGTGCTGGTAGTAGAGTATCACTGACATGTTCCTCAATTAGGAAGCATGAGATCGCCCCATAGTAGAAGATAGACTATCATTTCATACAAATTTTTTTTCCAAATATGGAAGGATCTGATCTTTACATATTCAGAAACTCTGGATTATTTTTATCATTGGTGGGAATATTAGAGAATGAGCATTTTATGTTCATCATGCCTTTAATTAAACAAAATTATTTCTTCTTAATGTGAAATTAAAATTTTTATAAGTGTAAAATTTTATGAACCTCTTTTTGTACAACATATTTTAACAAGTAACTTTTCCTTAAAGATCTCTTAATTTGGGGATCTGAGATTATGTTCCTTTTTCCCCTTTATCTCTCCAGTGAGTTTCCCGATCTTGCTCTCATCCGTGTTCTTTTCCAACTTGTTAAATATTTATGTCATTGATTGAAGTAATGCGAGTTGTCTTTATTTTTTAAATATCACTGTCACTGAGTATAAAATTCATACTGGTTATTTCATTCCATTTTAAAATTCTGTCTCAAAAACTCAAAATAATGACAGACTGGTTTTGAAATTTAAACTTTAATCATTTTTTGCTGTCTGTTTGCAAATTCTGAATTTCATTTTAAATTGTCAATTTTTTGTTCTCTATATTTTAATACTTAATTTCCTATGCCCAAAGTATAGATTAAATGTAGAATATGGATTAATAAGGACAATATTGCAGATCTTTTTGTCTGAGAAAAGTATAGGATTCTTCATCATCCAAAATTCTAAAATCCTTTTGAACATGTATTTAATTCAGTTGTCTCATAACCATTGTTTATACAGCATTTATAGAAAATAAGGATTTAACTTGGCTCTGTCTAGGAGGTGACAGTCTTTTAGAAAGGCCAAGGGGCCACATAATTGGTTCGGTTCTGGTTTTTTGGTTTAGAGTTGACGATATTAGGAAAGAGCTTGTCTGTTGAAGCAGATACTGTGTAGGTAAATCACCTCCTCCTTGAAATCTTTAATGAGTAATGTTGTTCATACTTCAGTGTATATTACTTTGCTCAAAATTGTTTTTCTAGGATATAGTGTTAGATAATTAAAATTTTAAATTTTTTTCTCTTGATTGTTCTGGAAGAAGAGAAAGGAAGCTTATCAAGAAGAGTATGCAAGCATACTACTGTCCTGATTCAGATGACACACCACAGTTCAGTAGTGCTGAGCTTCAGAGGTGGGGGTGGGGCAGGCAGGGGGAGTTTTTGCATGAGTGTCTATTAGATGAGCCTCCCGATCACTGAACATCATCTATAGTAGTGGTGTCTGAAAGTGTTTTCTATAAACAGTGATTATAGCAACCAGAAAATCTGTTCTCCTGTCACCAAGTCATACTAATTTTCATATAATTCCTTACCCGTGCTCTGTCATTCCTCTGGTTGGTATAGCTTGATGTTGTTATCTTGGTTTTATTTCATAAGGATTAAGAAAATATTTTAACAGCACAGGCATTAAAAGTTTGGGGATTAAAAGAATGGTCTGTATTCATTCATGGAGAGTTCTAACTTGCATTCAGACTAAAGTCTATCTTTGAAAGTATATTTAATGTTTTGTCTCCACATGGTTAACTGCAGTTTTTCAAACATAAGTATTAAAATGAAATCTTCTAATTAGCTATGTCAAGCTAAATTTTTGTATTTGTTGAACTTTCTTGTTTGTTATGTTCAACGTATCACAAACTTCATTTGTTTTACTTTTCAAAACTATTTTATTACAATAAATTGGTAGAGCTAATGCTGACCTCCCAGTATATTTCATGTTCACATCTTCCAGTTCAACTGAGACATGCTGATGAAGGTGTGGTTTGTTAGGAGTTGCAGCTTGCTATTTTATGGTAATAATCATAAGGAAAAAAATTGATGAAAATTGCAGCAAAATATTTTAGGTACTCAGTGTTATTTCATGTCTGTATCTTAAATGGAAAATGTTCTTTAAAATAGAACTTTCCAATTAAGCTGGGGAAGAGAAAAAATGAGTTTTATTTTTGCTGCTTTGACTTTTAATGCAAATTTAGAATTGGGAAAACTAGTACTTCAGTCTTAATTTTTTTTAAGTGTTTCTTTGATTTGTAATTGATTAGATGCAGATCTCAGGCTGAAAAAATCCACTATAGGAGGGAAAACAAATGGCCACCGTAACCTTTATTTCTCTGTTACGTAAACACAATGTACGTTCAAAAATGAAAAGGTTAATAACTAAGTAGATTTTTTAAAGAATATTTATATAGTATATCTTCAATTATGTTTTTGTTCCTTGTAACTATTTTCGTTGAGGCAAATTTACTTGTAACTTCTATGAAACAGAAGGCCGTTGATGAACTTCAGGAAATACTATAAAATAACATTTCTACTGATAATTTGAATTTTAATGTAACTTCTTGCATTAATTCAATAAGCCTAAAAATACGAGTGGACATTTTAGTACTTCAGGCAGTATAATTATTGACATATCTAGAATATACAAGTGTGAAAAGCATTTCTGATTTTTCTATGTGAGAATAGGTTAAGCCATCGGTGGCCTTGAAATGTTGATTTTTGGCTTTTATTTTGGCTTTTATTTATTTTATAGTCAAAGATTTTATCTGATGATCAATGGTATGGATGTATTTTTTCTGATGAATAGAGTACTGCCCTTTAGTTTCAGTATATTAATATTTATTGAATACCAAGCACGTGAGATACTTTTGGACATAAATATTGACCTGAAAGATTATAGTCCCAGTATTCTAAGCTTCGAACTTCTCGTTTTTTAACTTGAAACGTTTTTTAAAATATTATGATGATGATGAAAACTTTAATTGTATCCTCAATATTTAAACAGATGTAAGGAAATTGCTTTGGTTGGGTGAAATAAACAGAGTTCCATCTACTTTCCTTTACTTTTTTAATGGTCTCAGAAGCTTTCTTAGAGGGACCCAGGACTCTTACGGAACAGTTTACGAACTATATTCTGACTGGAAAAAAGAACAGATGAAAAAAAATGATAATATAGGTTAAGTGCACAGACTATGAAGTTACACCACCTGGATTGAAAACAATTCTCTCCTTATTAACTGTGTCACCCTAGACATGTTGTTTTCACCACTCATTTTTCTCATGGGATGAGGAAAATACTAGTACCCGTGTCTTGTAAATTTTTTTAGGGCTGAGTTGATGATACACATCTCTGAAGATCACGGCTAGGACATCATAAATGAGTATTATTAGGTTGATATTTGTCTTTTTTTAAACTCAAGGGGTTAAGCAGAGTGACTAGATAAATTCTACCTTATATGGTCTCTGGATCTTTACTTTCCTACAAATCTTATTCTACTTTGGCTGAATCTAAGAAGTGAAGAAAGAATTGAATCAACTTATTCTTTTTCACTTCATTTTCTTTTTTTGCAATAATGGTATTTATCATCTCCATTTTTGAGTTGTGTTTGTTTAGCTCTCCCTGGGAAAACGCTTAGGTAAAGTACATAGTAATACAGAACTAACTGTCTGCGGATATTAAATTTGCAGGGAATTAAAATTAAGTTACACCTGGCTTTAGCCTCTTAAACAGTGACAATGTACTTATGCCACCATGTCCTAGAGTTCAAATAAGTTAGCAGACTAGTTCTCAGCGCCTTCAATGTATTCATCCGTTGTATGTCTAGTTTTTTTAATTTATATTCTTGAGGGTAATTTTAATTAGCATTAGTTAAGTAGATTCAGGAGCACGCCAACCCGTGTCTTTTACATTGTCAAGGCCTAGGAGGCTCATGATTGGCTTCCTGGAAGAAGCAAGTCTTCCGAAGCAGGAAAGTGATATGGCCTTTTCCACCGGAAGGCAGTGTGGCGTAAGGTGGCTGTTTTCAAATTCTTTACTTCGACATAATCAGGCTCCTAAGAAGACTCTAGAAAGTCATTGAAAAAAATTATAATAGTGAAAGGCCTGTTCATGATTTCTGTCATCAATGCAGACTCAGCTGGGTTCCAAGCATCTTGAGCGTCAGCTTTTTTTTTCGCATTAGGAAAGAAATTATTTAGGAAATTCCAGAAGAGTGTCGAACAAAAATTTTGAAAGTTTTCATAAGACTTAGAGAATG